TGACACCTGCATTGGGTCAAACAAATGAAGCCTTGACTGTCTGCTCTGCCCTGACTGTGGTGCTCTCTAGATCAGCTTCATCTCCTCTGAAAATAATGGGAGCTAAAGGCTTCAGCACATGCAGAGAAACCTAATGTAGGTGTCACGTCAGGCTGAAACCCACCCTGAGTTCTAGACATAAAAGGACCACCCATCCTTTGTTACCCATCTGCTTTGTATGGAGAATTTCCATCTTGTCTATCTACAAAGATGGGAGAGCAGCCATAGGGTGAATCACAAAATGAGGTTGGAAGAGACCTTCAAGATCATCAAGTCCAACCCATGCCCTAAACACCTTAACTAAACCATGGCATCAAGTGCCATATCCAGTCTTTTTTTGAACACATCCAGGGATGGTGGCTCCACCACCTCTCCAGGCAGGTCATTCCAATATTTTATCACTCTTCCTGTGAAAAACTTATTCCTAATATCCAACCTATATTTCCCCTGATGCAGATTGAGACTTCTTGAAGTTCTGTCAGTTGCTACCTGAAGAAAGAGACCAACCCCACCTGAGCACAACCAGCTTTCAGGAGCTGTAGAGAGTGGTGAGGTCACCCCTGATTCTCCTTTTCTCCAGGCTGAACACCCCCAGCTCACTCACAGGGTTTGTGTTCCCAGCCCTCACCAGCCTTGCTGCTCTTCTCTGGATGTGCTCAAGTGTCTCAACGTCCTTCCTAAATGGAAGATGGACATCAGCTGGGGTGGCCACTGGCCAACAAACTGACAGGCATCACAGGCTGAGGGAAGTAGCTCATGGTGATTATCAAACCAGCTCAGAGACTCCTGGAGCTGCCCAGAGACTGTGGCCAAAGCTCAGCCAAACCTGCAGACTTGCTCACCTGGGATGTGACTTTTGGTGAGAGCAGAGGGTCTCTGTGTTGTGAAAAACAAGCTCTATCAACTCTGCAGGTGGTTCACATGGCCAGCAGGGTTTTTGCTAGAGCAGTGTAGAGCCTGAGGGATTTACACTTCACTCTTACCCCTCTACTTACCACACAGCTCTGCTCTGGTGAGCAGCAAAGGACCCACCAGTCACCAGCTCGAGAGTCCCAATGCAGCCAGCTGCAGACCCTTCCCACCGGGTGTTGGTATGAAGAAGTTTTACAAAAGCAGAGATCCTGCCATTCCTCCTGACAGGTCCAGTTGCACACTCCATACATCGTGGCCATCTGTGGATGATGCTTGAGAAAACATCCACGAAAGAGCAGAGGGACTGAGAGGTGCAATATTGCTGAGCTTGAAGGGACAGCAGCAAGGGCTCTGCTGAAACTTCACCCAAAATCTTCATCACTCCCGGGAAGGTTGGACCAGCTAGAAAGAGGTGAGACATCCCTTTTTCTTAAAGGACAGACAAATTTTCAGAGGCTGTGTTGGAAAAGCTGGAAAACCCAAAGAAGCAAGAACTGCCAAGAGGAAATGGCCTTCTGGTACACGAAAAGTGTGCTGGAAAAGGCAATGGGCAGTCTGTTTTCCAGGTCCAGGGCATATAGAACAATTAATAGGATTAAGTTAAGAAGAGGAAGATTCAGTTTAAACATGAGGGAAAAACTTTCCAATGACTGGGATAATAGAGACCTGGAATAAATTTTTCTGCTGTTGAGAGGTTTATGGCCCTATAACTTTTGGGATTTAGAATAATATAGTCTATTTACACTGCTTACAGTATCATTGTTTTTACATGATTTTATGTATCCTAATAGTGACTTACCAGCAGCTGCCTGGTTCTTTTTGAAGCTGTGCAATACTAATATCTATTTATCAAAGTATAGTGCATAAAAATGATGCCTAAGTTTGGGGAAAAGTTTTTGCATGTCCCAATTGGACAACATTCTGTAAAATTCAGCAAAAAAAATTTGCAACTGCTTCTGCATTCCCTGTTCCAGCCCAAAGCTGCTATGAGTTATGGTAGCTTTGGGAATGTGGGATATTTCAGCAACCTGCTCACTACTCTGATGTGGTTCTTCACCTTGATAAAACTCTTTTCTCTTACACATAGATATAAGCACACACATATGCATAGAGACCTTTAAAGGTCTTTAAAGTCAATCCCGGCAAGTGGAAACAAAGAATATTATTTGAGATGGGTCTAACAGATTGGATTTAAAAAAAAAATAATAATGAAACCAGCAACAAACAGCCCTTCTGTGCCCATGTGCCAACTTTAATCCCCTCGTTAATTAAAACCGGCCGAATTATAACCCCTTTCCAACAATGAGGTTTCCAGCAGAAATGCCAAGCGAACAGACCCTTCAGCGCAGCAGCTCCGCTGCCGCCTCCAGAACACAATCGCGGAACGGCAAAACATATTGGCACCTCCTGGCTCGGAACGGGAATATTCGCTCGGCGCCGTCTCTCCCTGTTAATTGCTGTGTGCAAAGCGGTCCCGGCACAGCCCCTTTATCTGTGAGCCTCAGGAGCGCTGCGGGAGCCGCGGGCCGCGGGCCGGGGCTGGGCCGGGCTGGGCCGGGGCTGGGCCGGGGCTGGGCCGGGGCTGGGCCGGGGCTGCGCTGCCAAGCGCGGGGAGCGCCCGGGAGCGGCGCGTTCCCGCAGTGGGACCGGGAGCAGCGCGTTCCCATACCGGCATCGGGATCAGCGCGTTCCCGCACTGGGATTGGGATCAGGGCATTCCCGCACCGGGATCGGGATCAGGGCATTCCCGCACTCCCGCACTGGGATCGGGATCAGCGCATTCCCGCACTGGGATCGGGATCAGAGCACTCCCTCACTGGGATCGGGATCAGCGCACTCCCGCACTGGGCTCGGGATCAGGGCATTACCGCACTGGGATCGGGATCAGCGCATTTCCGCACTCCCGCACCGAGATCGGGATCAGCTCATTCCCGCACTCTGCACTGGGATCGGGCCCAGCACGCTCCCGCACTCCCGCACTGGGATCGGGATCAGGGCACTCCGGCACTGGGATCGGGATCAGCGCACTCCCGCACCGGGATCGGGATCAGGGCATTCCCGCACTGGGATCGGGATCAGCGCATTCCCGCACTGGGATCGGGATCAGAGCGCTCCCGCACTCCGCAATGGGATCGGGATCAGGGCACTCCCGCACTCCCGCACTGGGATCGGGATCAGGGCATTCCCGCACTGGGGTCGGGATCAGGGCACTCCCGCACTGGGATCGGGATCAGCGCTCCCGGCTCCCGGCCGGCGCTCGGTTCGCTGCCCCCCGGCTGTCCGGGGCTGTGCCGCAGTTTGCGGTCCCGCTGGCGGGGCGCGGTGCTCCCGCCCGGCCGCAGCATCTCCTCTGCTCGCTCGGCGGGAGAGGAGCGCTCCCGAACTTCCACCGCTCTCCCTCGGATCGCTCAGCGCTGGAAGCCTCACCTGCCTGGGAAGCCAGGCTGATTCTCCCTTGCGTCCTCTGATGTCCGTTTGTTCTTTGCTTAAATGAAGAGCTTTACGAAGCGATGTTCCTCTTAATTATGGGTTTCTACAATACCTTTCATGGTGCAACAGCACCCTGATACCAGCTATTAAAACCTGTCAGGCTGAAGGGGAAATGCAGTCCGTAAAATGGCTTCTGCCTTTGCAGATGGATTCCCTGTATGAATCCAGGACCAGGGGCCAGATCTCCGCTGGAGCCGGGCCAGTCCACACCAGCTGTCAGCACAGCCACAGAGGATCAAGTATTTCTGTGCCACCCCATCTCTTCATCACAACTGTCAGCTCAGGCCCCACCACAGAATATTTATTAGCGGTGACAACAGGAAAGAATAGAAATATCAACTCTTAGGTTGACTTTTGCAAAGTCAGTAAGTAAAAAAGATACAATTTTGCCCTCATAAAGGGACCAAACTTGTTGGAAAAGATACAGCAGGAAAAAACAAATCCTTTGGGCTTAGGGGTAGGTTTGCTTTTTGTTTAATGAAGGATTGGCAAAGGACTTGCACTGCATGAAACTAGATATTGCTCTCAAATTCAGATGCTGAGACATGAAGCAGTCAGTGAAAGCACTGGTGTATCCATGGGTCTGACCATGCAAAAGTTATAACAGCTAAGTGCTAAGGGTTGCTCTGTACTGAGAGACAATCTGAAGTCTTTGCATTTACATACCAGCTGTCATCAAGGCTTAACCAAAGTGTTTCCAATTTCTTTTTGTTGTATTTTGTGTTGTGTTTATGTGTTGGAAATCAAGGCACAGAGCCTGCAAGTCAGGGTGAAAAAAGGACAAAGACAAATTCAATGAGGTGCCGGTGGAATTCAGGTGCTTAAATGCACAGAAAACAATATTTGAACTCTCTGCTCTGCTGTTGTCTTAACTTAGAGATATCTAAATGCTCACTGTATTCTTCACTACCCAAAAATTCCTTTATTTCTCTCCTCTACAGTTAGTTTAATAATTTGCAATCCATACTGATGGCCCTCAGTCCAAGCCCCTCCATCCCCTTGCCATGATCCAGCACCTCCTCTTCCCACCAAACTGGGGCTAATTCCAGGGCAAAAGAGCAAAACCCCCTGTGTCCCTGGCTGTGGACTGTGGCTGGTTGGAGACCCCATGTTTGGGACTAAACAGGAGTTAGGGTTAACCTGCACAGTCTGTTTTTGCCAACTGATTTATGGCATCACCTGGAAGGTGGTTGAATCTGACTCCAACTCTCATTTGGAGCCCCTAAACCCCAACCAGAAATGGAGGAGTGGAGATCTTTGGGTTTCCTGCTGGGGACACACATTTGCAGGTCCCCACAGGGACTGCAGCTGCAGTGGCACTCGGTGTGGGGGCTCCTGTCACTTCACATCCAAGCTGCTAATAAGAACTCCCTCGGCTAGGAAGACATCAGTGCAGAGAACAAAACCATCTCCTGCTGAACTGATTATATTTACTGTAAAACACGGAAGCAAATGAAATCTCTGATTGAGAGAGAAGGAGAAAGCTTTTAATCCTGCTCTATGGCGCTTGCCAGATTGACAAGTCTAGAAATACAAATGGAAGAGTAATTATACAAGACTCACGTCGCTGCTCAGATTTATTTTTCCAAATGTAAGAAAGAGAAAGAGACAGAAGAGGCTTGGCTTGTTATACTGGTTTCCGCAACTGTTAGTGCAAATTGATTAGAAATCAAAGCTCAAGATGTTCCAAACTACTCAAAAAAAAAAAATTCTCCTCTGAGCTGTGGCACAATCAAAATATTAGATGACACAAGACAAAGGGGGGGAAAAATTAAGACAACAGCCATCTGAAGCAAAGTTATGTTTTCATTGTTACAAATCCTAGAGCTCTTTGTGGAAGAAGGGGGAAATGTCTATGCTACCTGGTTCAAACAATTTTAATGTGAGCAAACTCTAAAAATATCCATTAAATCTTTTAATTCAGTTGCTAAATGAAAGTGATAGAGAGGACTAAACAGTGAAGTGTCTGTCAAGTTATAGTCACCAAATTCTGGGAAAAGATGCACCAGGGCTTCAGATCAGGGTTGAACTCAGAGCAAACACATTTCTTCGAGGGCCCTTGAGGACACTGTACTTTATAATTGAACTTATACTTCCAATTTCAGACCTGAGTATCCATCACAAAAGGCATTTTTTAAAAATACAGCATAGACAGCATTCATCTTGCCTAATTCAAAACATCCACGCTGGAGACATCTGTGCCTCACCGAGCCTCCCATCCTTTGTAGCCATGAAGGGAAACAGGCACTTTTACAGCATGCTCAGCTGACTTATTTTAGATATCAGCTTTAGGGCAAGATGAATCATGCCTTGGATGTGCCAATTTTCCTGTGGTGCCAAAACAAGACTAGACAACCAGTTTATTTGCTCAGATGAATCCCACGTGGCTGAGGCTGATAGATTTGTGCTATGGTCTGGCTGAATGTGGGCTGTCTGTGGCTCCAAATCTTACATCATCCCATGGAGAGTCCTGTGTAGCTGTGCCTCAGTGGATCCTTAGAGGTGAGCTGGAAAACAGCAGCTGCCTCCAGATATCATCAGTCCTGACAACTGCCATGGTCTGCTAATGAGCCTGGATGGCTTCCCCGGAGAAACAAATCACCTTAAACATTTAAGTTGTCCCCAGAGATTTTATAAAGTTTGAATCAAGCAATGATAGATTCAGACTAATTTCAGCAATGTTGGTGTGGATCTGTAATGGGAATAATTTGCATGCTCAGTTTTTAGGTTTTAGTGAGTGTATATAATGCTCCAGATAGCAGTATCAAGACAACATTTTACATTCTAGTCTTTCCTCCTTTGGTGAGGAGATTTGTAGGTAAAGATTCACACTGCGCAAGGACACTAAATATTGAACAGGAGCTTTCCTTCCAAATTTTGTTTCCAGAAGGGCTTAAGAATGATAACCAGAGTTTTATGCATCTGATTAAAAAGCCAACACTCCAAACTCTGGGCATGTAGGTTTCTGGCATTATTTCTGTTATGGTCATAATCTGCTGCTTGCCCATTCCAGCTGCTAAAGCACACTAGACAAGACTTGAATTCCAAATATTATTCTCATCACCATGGTATTCTGTGCACAGATCCCCAAAGGTAATTAAAGAAGTTTGAGACTCTGACTCCAAAGGCCAGGTCCATAAATAATTTCAGCTCTTGCAATTAGGTGACACAGTGTTTTGTTTTGAGACTTTTGTACTGCAGGGATTGAATCCAGAAGCTGCCTTGCCTCCAGCTGGCAGGGAGAGATCAGGGTACCCCCAACAAGAAAACACTCCCAGAGCAGAAAGTCAGCTCAGTGCAAGCTCACAGAGGATGCTGCACCCAGGGACAGATCTGCCAGCTCACCTCTCCTGGAGGCTCCTCACCCAGGCTTGCAGGGAAGCAGCTCCATCTCCTCAGGGTCTTTGGACAGAATCCTCCTTTCCTCCTGGGTATCAGTGTTTAAACCTGTTAGACACAAACACAACTGGCACACAAACAGCAGAGGAAGAGTTTTTGGTCCTTCCCCCCCTTCACCTGCCAAACTCACAGCAAGACCTTTAACTGTGAGGTGACAAAGCAGAGACCCTTTGCCATGCCCACTGTTTGGCCCAGTATTCTCATGAACACATTATTTTCTAGACAGCAGCACAAGTTACTTTTCTGGGAGAGAGCAGTTCTGAAACTTTACCTTAAATCCTCCCTCCCACGATAAACAAAAATAACCAGACTCCAGAGTGTATCTTTTCCTGCTTCTACCTAACATAAAAAGTACAACGGTTGAGGCTGAGCAGCAGCAAACATGTAAATATAGAGTACTCACAAAGTTCAAGGAGAGACATAATCAAAGTCAGACCCTCCAGAATTGGGTGGTGGCTGGGGACAGGTATTATGTGTTATTATATATATCTTTTACTTGCATCATGTGTACATTTTGCTTTAACTGCCAGGTCTCTTCTGGACACCACCCTTTATAACCTGCATGCAAATATTTTCTTTTGGGAGTAGGGACAGGAGAGCAATTCATAGAGGTATTAAAAGTGATTAAAAAATGATTGTTTTAAGATAGGAAAGGAAAGTCCTGGGAGGACCAGTCTCTAGGACAGGTCCCATCTTCTGCATAAGGGGTAAAGGACTTGCTTTGCCTGAGGAGCATCAGTGTTAGCAATTAATGGATTTTAATATGCAATTTTATACACTTCTAAAGAGGATTCAGGAAGCATAGGATCAGTATTATTCAGTTGCATGTTTACTCCATTTTAGATCCTGCAGCTCCAGGTTTTTTCTTTCTGTCTGTTTTGTCCTTCTCATCCTTTCCTTCTGTTTCAAGGATGAATTGCTGGTAATCCATCTCAGGTGTGTTGTCAGTCCTAAACACTGTCAATTAAGTGTCTTCTGAGGAAGATTTGATCAAGCTGCCTTCTCAGTAATGAACATCTTTTTTGAAATTACAACTCTAAATTATACTATTTGCCATAATGTAAAAGCTATGAAGGAAAAGAGAATAAAACCCTTGGGAAGAGACACGTACTTTTCCCTCAACTTCTTTTCCATCCTTGCCATCTTCCATCAGTCTGACAAAAAGCTGTTTGTAAGAGCCTCTTGAAATGAGGAATCTAATACTCAATCACAAAAAGATTAGCCTTTGACTGTACTTCACTCCATGCTACACTAATACAATCAGCACAGGAAATGTTATCCAGGAAGAGGTTAGGGGAGAGGATGGAAGACCAGGTGGTGCTGGAGACCTAAATTATAGAGATTTATTTTTCATGAAGCATGACTTTTATTTGCTTCTAACTTTAGGAAGTAGCAGTGCTGGAGATGAAGCAGCCAGCAGGAGATGTTCAGTCACATGTGCAAGGGCAGGTGTGCTGCTGAGTCCCTGCTGAGCTTGGGCTGACCTGTGGAAAGGAGACAGGAAAACTGGGATTACTTTGGAGAAGTTAATTCAGAGCTAGAGCAGCCTGGACACACCATGCCCAAAGTGCCACTGATGGCAGGAGGACCCACAGGATACCAGGACAGAGTGTGGGCACTCAAATGTGGGAGTGCAATCCACAGCACATTTATCACCTGAGGCTCCTAAAGGGCCATAAACACGTAATTTTTGCCACTGTAATTACCCAGCTATCTGGAGTTTTGCTGCTGCACTCAGAAAATGTTGTCATCTCAGCAGGACTGAGCAGGTTTGCATCTATGTCATGTACATGCCTGTTGGGATCTGCAAATTAGGTTTTTCTGTGCTTAAGTTCCCTGAGCAGTCTCAGCTTTTCCTTGGGTATGAAGCACAGGGGAGGATGCTTTGCACAGATTTTCTCTCATGGCCCAGGAGCTCAGACACCTCTTTCAGAGCAGGAGATGGGACACATCACCTCCCCCCCCCAAAACTGCTGCAGCACAGGAGGAAATCTAAAGCTGGGGAGAGAGAGATCGAATGATTGTGCACCCTGATAAAAGCTGTGACCCTGCACAAAGGCTTGGGATTTCCAGTCTCTGTACAGGCACCACATCTGCATTTTGCATTCTTTTCAGTAAGTCATGTGCCAATTCTGCACGTTTGCTGCCTCAGCAGCAGAAGGGATGTCTGATCTCCCACAGCATAAGCCACCCTCACAGGAAAAATGCATCACATTTTTGTGGCACGCGCTGTCTGATGCTCTCTCAGTGCTAGGATAAACCAGAGTTCATGGAAAACAGAACTGATGACAAGTATCATTAAATCTCCAAGCAACTTTTTTTCCCCCCTGAGATGTCCTTCCTGAAGCCACAGAGAAGGACATTGGATAAATACACGTGTCACCATTACTTACATCAGTAATCTAGCAGACTCTGGGATTGACAGGATGGCTACAGGGGCTGAATTTAGGTCACCTATGAAATGAATTAAAAGCTTCTCCTTATCTCAGTGCCTCATCTCCTCCTCACTCACACCCTTGTAGGGCACAAAGATGATGAAATCTAACCCACTGATTGCCAAGTGACTTCTAAACACCACAGCTCCTTAATCAGGGTACCAGACCACATTACACTGGTGCAGTCACAACAGCAAAGCTCCAGATTGTGTTCGTCCACGTGTAGTTACTGCTACAGATCTCAGTGATCAAGATTTGTGTATGAGCTTATCTTAAAAGGAAAAAACCAAAACAAAACAAAAAAGCGCCAAAAAATCAACAAAAATCAACAACAAAAAAAACCACACAAAAAACCCACAAACAAACAAACAAAAAAGAAACAACAAATATGAAAATAAAACAAAAACTCCAATAACAAAAAAAAGAACCCACACATGCAAGATTTGGACATAGGCTTGCATCAGATCAAATGGCTGGTGACACCTCTGCTCCGTATTTCACCTCCACTTCTGCAGAGTGAGCAGAGATGGCTTTGGGCTGAACGACAGACTGCAAGCACAGACTACCACCTAGAAGGGCCATTTGAGCCCTCTGCTAGGAAAACAGCTCCCTTGTTCCCATTTTTAAGTGATTTATGGTTTTATGAAGCACACTAAATGCCCTCAGGGCCCAGATTTGCATCCACTCATTACTGATGCCCAAACAATGCAGCCAACACAAAGGCACATCCTCACCTGAAATCAAAGCATGTTTCCATCTTCTCAAGGCTGAAGAACAGCAGATGAAGGTGTTTTCTAAGTGTTTGGGAAGTTTGTTGGACAAGGTGGATAAAACTTGAGCCTAAAGGAGCCCAAATCCTTCATCACTCAACTCTCAGGTGTGGAAAGGACCCTAATGTGATGGGGTTGGGGTTGCAGTGCTGACAAGAGAGGTCTGGAGTTTTAATCAGGAACATTTCTTGTCTTTGGTTCTGTTTGGGCATCTAGGAACTGTACACTTGTACACTCAATATGTAAATTCATACTGTGCCAACAATCTCCTGGGCTTTCTCTTCTCAGACAGCTTTGCAAAATTCCATAGTTTTGGCTAATGATTCTGATGAAAACCAGGAGCAACATGCTTTGCTGCTGTCTCAGAAACAAAGTGTGATCCCTGTGTGAAACCTCCTGCTCTTCACAGGGCTGGTGGGGTCCCAGCAGCCCATCTCTGGGGGCTGGCCAGCTCAAACCAGTGAGGCTTGGCAGAGATTTAACAGAGGTTAAAATTACTGTACAATGGTTTGTATTCACTCTGATGTATTAGGATGAGATTAAATGAGAGGAAGGGGAACTTTCCTTTTCAGGATTATCTCTTGTATTTGGGGGCTTTTGTCCTTGAAGAGCTTTTTGAAAGGCTGCCAAAAGAGGCAGCAGTGTGTAGCCAGAGTATAAAGCAGCATCCTCTGGGGAGACAGGAGGGTGGCATGTCCTGCCCAAGCCATCTGCCTGCAAAGGGAGAGGCTGCAGGAGAGGAGCAAGTGGGCAGTGAAGATTCTGTGTCTGTGTGTGGGGAAGGAGGCAGGAGCAGCTGCTGGGCAGCCACAGATGCCAGGAAGGGCAGCGGGCTGAAGTCAAGCCAGAGGAAGAAGAGGCTCCTGGGGATATAAGTCAGGTCAGAGTGGTCAGGACATGCAAGCAGATGACACCCAAACAGATGATCTCCCCCATTCAGAGGGATATTTTAGAGTCTAATATACCATGGATTAAGACAACCAATTTAGCCATGCCTCATGTTGTACTTTAGCCTGTTCCATAATCACTGCAAGACAGAATTTGGCTTTAATCATTTCTCATCCCAGGGACAAAGCCTGTTTTCACCCAGTGTGCCAAGACATTCTATGAGATTAAAATTATGTCTCTTGCAAGACTGTCCAGGTCCTGCCTTCAAGGGTCTCTTTCTAATTGTTTTCAGAGGCTGCCAGCCTTGCAGGGTGTAGCGCTAACTTCAGAAGATGTGGGGTGGAAAAGCCTTTTTAAAATGATTTTTTAAATCAGAGGAAGAGAGGAGGCTCTTTAATTCCATACAGAAGATCACTTCTTCCTGCCAAGCAGCAGTGGGAGCACAGGCTTTGGAGTTCACGGTTCAAGAGTGCAATCATTTGACATGCAAGCACTGCCAGGAGGCAAAAGGAGGGGAGGCCAACCTAGGATGAGACTCTGTGACTGACCTTCCAGGAGAAAATCTCATTTTGCAGAGCTCTTCTTCAAGGACCTGGCTCCACAGACATTCATTGCATTCACCTGGGCAATCAGAAAACAATAACAAAGGTATCAAGGTCAAAAAGTTTGGACTTAAGATTATAAGGTTGGGAAAGGAAAAAGGGCCTATAGCAACCCAAAAATAACCCAAAGAGCTCTCATTGGAAATGGCACTTGGATTTTGGAAGAATGTATAAAACTTTGATTTTATTTTTTTCAGTCTTACTATTTAATTAGGACACTTAAAAATGCAGAGGAGCAAAATGACAACAGCAACAAGCCCAAACAAACCCTGCCCTGGGACAAGTCTGTTGCCTGGCATTGAAAAAAGCCCCCAAGTGACAGAATGTACTGTGGTTATTCATGTCTGTGACATTACAGTGACTGGCTTTCATGCACTCACCATAAATTACTGCGAGTTAAACAAAGCACTCTGAGGAGACAGACAGACAGAAAGGAATATTCAAGGTTCTTGATTATTTATCAGTTGGCTGAAACATTTAGAGACCAAGGAGAGCATTACATATCCTACCTAATGAATCACCTCACAGCAAAGGATTTTACATTCATGTGAAAGTTTCCTCTAAGGGCTGGAGGGAAAGGATGTGCAAACAGCTTGACTTCACCAAGGTAGCATTAAGATGGCAAAAAGTAGCCAGAAGTTGTTGAAGCCACAAGTAAACTGCTGATTTCAGAAAAGGTCTGTGTGACACAAAGAGGTTTCAGCAGTGTGGACAGTGAAAGTGCATCCCTGGAAGCCACACCAAGGGCGCTTCATTAGAGAGAAGTTATCAGGCCACATACATTTCCAATTTCACTGCTACCATCTTTAATTGAAATTAAGGACAGTTAAACCACATAATTTATTCCTCCCTCCTTGCCCTATGCTTTTTTTCAAGATATTTCATGCATCCACCTAAGCAGCTTAAAGTCTTTGCCTTCCATGAGTTCTCAATTTGGCTCTCCCACGCCTCACAAATTCTGCACCACAAAAATACCATGCTGCAGAACAGCTGAACAGAACTTTGTCTCAGATGACATTTTAAACCATTCAGAAAACATGGATCACAAGTAGATATTTTGCAGTAGTTTTTTTATATAAATAACATTTAGGTTTCTGCCACAAGTCACTTGTGTTCCTCCATTAGTAGATAACAACTGCGAAGTGCAGCGATTAACTTGTGAGTGCAGTGTGATGGGAAGAACCAGGTTGGGAGCAGCAGAGAGCAAATAGGAGACAAAGTACTCACCTAATGTTTCTAAGAAACCAACATGAAAGGCTTGTAAACTGCTATAATACTTCCTTTTTCTCTGTCATACTTACATTTCCTTTGCATTACAAATTCTCCAATGAAGAGCACGGTAGACTTGGCGCTGGCTTTTTACACAGCCGTTCTTAAAAACATTTCATCAAGGTGGAAAAAAACTTCAAAAAAATCTTAAAGCCCTGCATGTGATGGCACCCTTCTCACTGATGCAGCCTCTCCCACTGGATTCAGTCTGTTCTTGATAACAACATATGCAATGATTTCTGCATGAGCCATGGGAGATAAGGACCCCCATGGTTCTGAAGTGCTATCATGCTGGACTGCATGTAAGTGATAACTTAGCATTTTAGGATAGAAAATATTGAGTATTCTACTCTCTTGTAACCTCCTCTTCATCTTAAACTGTCTTTCATATGATAATTTGAAAGACTTTCCCCAGACCTTGTATCTTTAATAGAAGTTAGACAAAGCCTGAATCCTCCTTTGTTTGGCAAATGTTTTGCTGTGGATGCAGTTTTAAATAAACATCTGATGCAAAGACCTGGGCACACAATATAAGAGTGGGATGTGCTGCTGTAATTCCTCTGCCCAAATATCTCAGTACATCTGTGATGCTGCTGCATCACCTAATGTTAACATGTGCAATTTGTAGGGAAGAAATGGAGAGAGAAAATGAGAAAATGTGCTGAAATAACTTGCCTGTAGCAATATGCTGAGAGATCCGGTGCCAGGGCTGGGAATTAGAGCTCAATTGATTTCTGGTATCCAGCCCCTTGCATAATTCACTAGGTCACAGTGACAAGATTTAAATATGGGACTAATTGAATGTTCATATAGGAATTGCTGCTCTTTTGGTCTGGCTTGATGCAAAGTTGGACAGGGAGAAGGATACAGAGGAGAAACTGAAGTCTCTGGAGGAAAATTCAGGGAGGGGAATAGCTGGAAGAGAAAGCTGCTCTGTCCTCCTCCTGTTATCTCAGTGGCAGGTTAATTCTGCATGACAACTTAAATGTCAAATGTAGTCGATCTATTTCACCAGGGAAAAAACCCATCTCCTCAAATCCCTGCTGACAGAGCAGGAGCAGAAAGCACCTGGGCCCCCAGTGGGCTGCTCTAGAGGAGAGAGCTGAGCTCCCCAAGAATCATAAAACTGCCTCCAAGAGCAGGAACATCTCCTGAGGGAAGTGACCACAGACCCAGGGGTCTTGCTGAAGTCACCCTTGAGCTGCTTTGAATAATCATAAGCAGAAACATGAGATGACAGAAAATATAAACATTAGGGTGAATGTCTTCAAAGGAAAATCCTCTCAAAGGTGTGAAAAAAAAAAAAAAACCTTAATGGGTCAGGGCAATCACAGTTTTTCCCTTCCCTGGGCTGTCCATCACATCTGGTGCAAGATTCCCCTTCCCCCTTTGCTGGGCAGGGGGTTTGAATGCTGCATGTCCTCTAGCTTTCCTCTAGCTCCTGACTGAGTGGTTGTGCTTGCTGGGAAGAGGTTTTCCCAAAGCAGCCAGCCTTGGGAGCAGCCTGTGGCTCCCAGCACGGCTCCACTGAGCCACTCCAGGTTTGCTGTGTGCCTAAGCACACACACTACAAATAATCCTACTCCTGCCCACTGGAAAGACAGAAGAGCCTTTTTCCTCCTCCTCCATCGTTCTGCTGGCACAGGAGAGGACTCACATTGCTGCCCTGACTATGGGGCTCGTCCCCAGGGATGGATCCTGAAGAAACTGCCTAGGTGCCTTCCCCTACCTTGGCAGTATTCAAGCACATTCTTCCCAGGACTTTCTCCTGCAGGACAGCAAATTCCAGGAGCTTGGGGTAGGATGAAGCTTTAATTTTTTTTGTAACCTCCAAAGCAGCCAGTTCTTCCTCACCCACATGGTATTCCTTCAACCCCCCACTGATTCATACAGGATGTCCCTGGGATACTGGAAGTACTCCAGGTGTGTTTCCCACTGTAAGACCTGCAGCAACACTTGCTTTTCTTCTTAAGTTACAAATGCCACAAATTCTCCATCTGCTCCAACCTTCAGGACCTCTGGGGATGGTGCTATCAGGTACTCCCAGAGGAGTGCAACAGTGAGCAGGTAATGTGTGTGCAGAGGTCAAGCCAGGCCAACAAAGTCTGTTCCCCAGAGGTAGGTGCTATCAGTTCCTAAAGATTTTGTATCCCAGTAGCTAAATCATCACCCAGACTTCCTAAAAGAGCATCTAAACAACTTCTGTTCCCCCCCTCAAAAACCCCTTTGTTTGGACTGCCCCATGGAAATATTTACTTTTCAGAGTTCATTCAGGAGCAGGAGCAACCACAGCTGTTCCCATCAGCAAAGGTGAAGCCTGCTCAGCTGCAGGTCTAAAAACCCTATTTCAATTCTGCAACCCCCATTTGAGAAGGTTTGATTGAGCTTGGTAATATTTAAAGTTAGTGTTAAAAATTTAAATCCTCCATTCATGTGTCTGTGCCCATGTTCCCTGCCCCCTCCCTTGCCCAAAAAAAGAAAATCCAAAGCCTTCAGTAACTCTGAAGAGAAGAAATTTTAAAAATGCATATTAAAAAAGAGAAGAGCATCTGCTTTGCTTTTTCCGGTTCTTTTTTGGGCTTTTGTTTTAATTCATCCAGTGAAATATATTCAACAGAATTATTACAGAGAAACTTCTGACCAAAATCACACAACCTCTTTAAAATGCATCAGCCAATGCCAGCAGGAGAGAGAGATGTTCTGAAAGAAAGGGAATGCTCTGTGTCCTTTTTATATGTCACCAGCTGGGGTGTCTTCCCAGTTCACAGACAAGCTGTACTGATTCCTGTGCTGGAAGCTCTGGCCACACTGATGGAACAGCCAGTTCCTCCAGATTCCTCATGCTCAGACCGTTCCTACGGGTGGGATCTGTTTATGGAAACGTAAATCCCTTGGCTGGGCTCTGAAATTACTTAGAGCAGCTAAGAAGCCACTGACCAAAATCATTACAAATGTTGTTCATTTCCACAGGGTCATTTGGAGATGAGCAGATACAACTCACCTTTGGACTGTCACCAAAGCAATATTAATAATTATGAAAAATAACTGGGGCTTTGCACGACATCACAAATCTACAGCACCACGTCTGGAATTGGCCTTTCCTCAGTGACAAATTCTAAACAACAAACATTCATAACACAAGTCCATGAAGTACTGGCTGTAAAGGATAATAAATCCTTTGGCAATATGAGGAGGGTAAGAAAATCTTCCTGGCACAAGTATTGTTAACACTGTCTGTGCATTCTAATGGCAACTACAGCTGGATTCCCAGCTCTGGAGGAGGGTGTAAATAAATATTATGCAAAATATTCCTTTCAGATAAATGCTAGCTGAGCCATATACCTGACTACTGTCTTTAAAATATTTACACCTCCAATAGGTAAAGAAATAGATAATTTTTTTCTTATATCTCATCTATAATATCTCTACCAGCCAGAAAAGACACCAGGTGCACAGGGGAATGTATTTAACGCTGTTTCCCTCTCAAAATCATTATTAGGTTTTAATTCAGCCCCTCATGACCAAGTGCCCATCCTATGCCTCAATCCTTCAAGATATTCTGACCCAGACTCTGAGGTCTTTGAATACTCAGGGTTACAATCAGTAAAACACTGACATCTGAGCACACAACCAGATGTGGTGAGACAACAGAGTGAACTATTCCACAAAAATCACTGTATAATGTAGAGAAGGGAAAGCTAATCTGTCATGAGCAAGCAGTGCTGGACATGGCCTGTGGCTACCTAACAAAATACAGAGTTTCTGGGGAAAAAATAAAGGTCTTTCACCTGACAGCAAAAGAACCCCAAACCCAGCAGACATGTAAAAAGTTGTGATGTACAAAAAAATACATGTTGTTAAACTACTTAAAAAAAAAAAAAAAAAAAAGGAAAAAAGATTAAAAAGCAGAGCGGGAGATGGTAAAGAGTTTCAGTTGGGTTGAAAATACAGACAAGTAATAATGGAGAGTACAAAATTCAATGAAAACTTTATAAACTCCAAGAATTCAGCATAATAAAGAAGGCAACTTGAAACAACGAAATCCCAAGTGTCAGGTACAGCTTTATTGTTGGACATTAATGCTAAAATTGTAAACACTGATATCAAAAGGCAACTTCATGTAATCTCATTACTGGGAGACAGGAATTGGTGGAGCTTTTCCCAGCAGATTTCCCCAGGGAATAACTCTTGGCTCAATATTATTTTATATTTTATCAATGTTCTAGATGCTAATGTAAAAATTTCTGTAGATGACAAACAGATAGGATAGCAGGGATAGCAGTAGATGATAGAAATTAGTTTTACAAAAGAAGCTGGTTTTGGGGTTTTTTTGGGGGTTTTTTTTGTTGTTGTTTTGACTTTGGGGTTTGAGTTTTTTTGAAGGATCACAATATAAGCAAATTGATTCAAACATAACTAAACACAAATAAATCCTTCTGGGAACCAGGAAGATTTCAACAAAGAATTGGAAGCCAAAGCATTATGAATTCTTGTCTATCATAGAGGTCTCGAT